CCAAATTTTGAAAAAAGTTCTTGCAATTGACTCTAGATAAATAATAAACATAAAAATAATCTTTTTTTCAACCGAATAATCTACTTCATCATAATTTGTTGGTAAATTTTTAACAATAATACTATTAACACGTCTGTGAAATTAAATTATAGTAAAGAAAATAAATTATATATTGGAAATCAATATTTCTATTTACCTTGCTAAATCATTCATGGTTAGAGATTGTTTCTATATGATGTAAAATTGGGGAAAAACGATGTTAAATTTACTACGATAGAAGTGCATACATATACGATCGAGAAAAATACATAAAGAAACGATCAATAAACGGATTGGTTAGATCTTATCAAACCAAATGAATCATAATAGACTTTATGAAAAAAATAAAACGAAAGAAACAACAATAATAATAAATACATAACACACATGTTTCGTTGTTATTTGAGCTTCGTTTATAACGTAACATCTGACTACAATACTCGTCAGTCTTTTTTCAAGGCAAACCAACTAACGACAGCTGGTGGTCTGTCTTATGTAAATCACAAAAGAAGCCACAAATAATTGACAGACACATTTTAAATATATTCTTGCTTGAAGAGACTCATGAAAACGAGAAACATTAATAGATTTTTCTTGATAAAAATATATACATAGATAAAAGTCCAAAATATCATTTCTTTTTTTTATTATAGATTATTCGTTTCTCCTTGTTTTGAACAAGTAGAATATTTAACTATGTCTTTCTTTAGTCGATTATTTAAACTTCGAATATTCGTATGCTATATTTTTTTTTATTAATTTTATTAATAAAAAACGATTTATATCTTATAGAAATTTCGCCATACTCTTGCTGAAGAACTTGAAGATCTTCATACAGTAAGCTTCATTATTTTTCATAATTATATTATTTTTTTTTCGTGTTTATCTATGTAGGAATCACTTCATTTACAGCAAGTATTAACTCAGACACGTCTCCAACAACGCATATGGACGAAATGGTTTGCTATCTATGCTATACTCGCATATTTAGCTTTGAACGTCGTTTATTTTACTTTATTCCTTTCACATGAGTATCTAATTCGTACTTATGCAATCATGATCTCTGTAACATTGGGAGCATTGTAAGTATCTGTTTTTTTTGTTGTTGATGAAAAATTATTTATATTTAAAAATAAAAGACTTTATGGAATGTATTGGCTTCTTTGTTGGTATTTTCGAACAATGATTCATATGAAAGGTTTGTCAATGTATATAAAATAGAAGAAATCATAATTTCTTTTTATTCTATGTTTTTAGAGGATCGATTAGCATTATTCAAAGATCGAAAACAAGAATTGGTAAGAATTGCGTGCATAATAAAATAAAATAAGGAAAATGTTTTTTTTTTAATTTTTAGATTGAAGAGGTGAAAACTAAAGAAACATATGCAGTAGCTAAAAGTCTCTTAGAAAAATATGGCGAAACAATTACACCTGCAGTTCAACCATCAGCAACCGAAGCTGCTAATACAAGTATGTCTATCTTAACAAGTGAAGCAGTCAGATTGATTTCTTTGTTTTTTATTTTTTAATAGATGTTCGTCCACGTGTATCAGTTCAACCAACAACAGCTGGTGCAAATAAACCACCTGTTTCTGGTATAATATTTAATTCTTCGTTTTTTTGAAATAAAAATATTTTTTTATATTTAGTTACACCACCTAATATCGGTAGATTAGAATCAAGTAATACACAAACACCAATGAGTGGTGGACCCATTCGTCCAACAGGTAACTATAATTACTAATATAACTATTAAAATTAACCTTCTAAATCGAATTTAGTGGGTGCTACACCTGGCAAATTACCGCGGGCAATTTTACCACCACAACGAACATTCTGGGGAGCAATTCTCGATGTTATTGTAGGTGATGGTCCATCAAAACGGTAAGATTATCATATTTTTCTTATTCGAATAAAAATTTAAAATCGGTCGGAGTTTTACATATTACAGTTTAATTTGCGACGAGCGTTTACATGAACGATGGAAATTTCGATTTCGGTAGAATGATCTTAAATCTAGGATAAGGTTTATGGTTGTATTATGTTTTTTGGTTAGATGATTTATCATTTGCTTTATTAGCTTTTCTTTCGAATACGTTGAATTCACCTTTTTCTTCTTCTATTTAGCTATGCATTAATCTGTAAATCCTGTAATAGTCATAATGGTTTGTTATTTTATCAATTGAATAAATAATAATAATAGTGATTTTTGTTATACTTTTTATAGGCATGGCACTGGAAGAAGAATATGAATATTTATGTATGATTAATCTTATTAATTTAGTAATAAATATTGCCTAAGTTTCTATTTAGCTTTTCGTTGTGCCTATTGTAATTATTTTAATAGTGCTCGTAAACAAAAACCGGTCTTTCATGGTGATATTGTTGCTCATGATCCACAACCAGCAGCAGCAACAACAGTAAGTCAAACACAAGCTGAACCAACAGTTACACGTACAGACTTATCATCTTCAGAATCATCTGATGCAAACGAAGGTATATTTCATTTTTATGATTTATTCATATTTCTATTATCTTAATGTTTCATATTGAATAGATAACAAATCGGCAGGTACAGAATCCAATGTAGTACGACGATCAATTCGTGTTCCAGCGTCAGAAAATACCAATGAATCTCGATCTCGTTCGTCATCCATTGAAAATCAACGAGAACAACAACATTCAGCATTATTATCGTCATCAGAAGAAGAAGAAAATAAACGAAAAGACAACTAAATAATAAAAAGATTTATATCTGTCTGTAACGTAATCAAGCATTTCTTTCTCTTCTTAACATGTGCAATAATTATTTATTGCATCACTTATTTATTCTACGAATCAAAAACTAAAATTGACATACTAAACTATAATTTTTTCTAACTACTGGTGGTAATTTCTTTCTTTTTTTCTTTCTCTTCTTATCTCTCTCGGATTGTTCTTCTGTTTTATGGAATAAAAACAAAAATTGAATCTCGTTCTGTTATACTTAACTTTTTTGATACAATCATACTAATATTACATCTCTAATAAATGTAAATGTCTAACATTATATCATTATAGATAGAATGCTTTTTTTCATCTATAGTATTATAATACATCAACAAGTAATTAAGTAGTTTGATTGATGTTATTATATATATTTAATTGTATTTTACTCTTAAGTGTCATATTGTAATGTTAAGAATAGTTCCTAATCTAAAGCAAATTAGAACGAAGTATCTTGTTTTTCGTATATGAATGTATTGATTGTAATGATTTAATAGAACTTATAGAAAAACAACTCATTTCTAGGCTTATGACATCTATTTTTCGTTTATATAAAATACACGATCATATGAGCGTATCTGATCAAGAAACCGTAGAAATTGATTTCACACCACCCTATAAAATGATTAAACTTCATTAAATATTTTGGAAATGTAACAGGTAAATAATTTTTAGTTAGTAGAGTTTTCGGCATTAAGTAATTAGAGGCTGTAAAGCTTAATCTTAATTACTTATTTATTTTCTTGATAATTTCTACAAAAAATCTAATATAATACTAAGTTATATGAATGTAGATGATGATGAAGGAATTCACGTTGATAAGTATATAAACAGATAAAGCGATCTATTATCAAACGATTTTGGTTGTCTATAATAAGTGTAATTGTTATACTGGCTTTAAGTACTTTACCTTTAAATAATTTATTTTTCATTGTTATAATTCTAACGATATGAACATTGTAAGTATTCTCCTCTCTGTCATCAGACAATGAATTTATTAATTATTAGCTGACACGAATACTTAGAATAGTCTCTATAAGATTATTTTAATTTATATCTCGGTTATTTAATGATTTTGACCGAACATATAATTTTGAAAGTTCTTCAAAAAACTTTAAAGTGATTTGAATTGTTTCAGATTATTTTTTAATGGAAAAATTACCAATTTTATTTATATTCGATTTTGATGAGACATTATCAGTCCGTGCATCTTGTTATCCTATAGAAGAACTTGCTCCTAATAAAGAAAAATTAAATCTTGATGATATTAATCATGGTTATGTACATGTTCATCATTGTTGGAACAGACGTATGAATGAAGTACATAAACAACTTGCTGAACAAGGTATTAATACAGAACAATTAATTGAAGCATTTCGTACGATTGAATTAAATCCAGGTACTGCCGAACTCTTTCGTGATATACATATTAATAATCATAAAATAATTATTATAAGTAATGCATGTGATCTCCTGATTGAAGAATGTCTTCGCGCACAAAATTTACTACAATATGTAGACGAAATCAAAAGTAATCCAGTACGACAACGCGAACCACTTATAATTATTGATGAATACGAAAATCCTTTACAAACAAATTGTACATTTTGTCAACCAAATCTATGTAAAGGTTCAATTATCGATCAATATCGTAATAGCAATAGATATGATAAAATAGTTTTCGTTGGTGATGGTGATAATGATGTTTGTGCAGCTTTACGTTTAGATAAAACAGATTATGCTTTTGCTAAATACGATGAAGAATCAGAAACAACTTATAAAATGTATGATTTATTAAAAAATCAATATTTTAAGCAATTAAAAACTGAATTACTTCTATGGAAAACAATGAAAGATGTTCACGACATATTAAAAAAGAAAAATATTCTCTAATAATTATGTTATTTGTATTGTAAGGATCTTAAGATCACAGTTTTTTTGCGCAATAAAAACAAAAAAAAGACTTCTTTTATTTTTCTAAACTTTTAGATGACAATCACACTTACAAAACGTTTAACTTCAAATATTTTATTATCTAATAATCGACAATTTTGGACTTGGTTGAATATTGTTTGGAATAGGTAATACAAGTTGAAACTAGGAGTGTCATTCAAAAGAATCTATATCTAACGTTAATTTAAATCTTCATAATATAGATTGTCGTTCATAAGACATTTTAAAACCTTCTCAAAATTAAATACTATTTTGTCTAAGACACGAAGTAAGTCTATGTCGAAAAAAAACCCTCGATTTCCAAAGATCATGCAGATTTATGATCACATCTACATCACTAGACAATTTACATAATAGAATAGTATATTATTCCTTGAGTATTGTTTTAATCGATAGAAATAAAAGTAAATCATATAATCATCGATTTTTGAATTGTTATCAATACGGTATGTTATACATCTATTATTAAGATAGTGATATCTATGAGCTTAGAACTTATGAAACGGCAAGTTTTAATCGAATTCATTTTCTATAGATATGATCGAAAACGTGTTCAAGAAATTGGTCCTGATCGTGCTTGTGCTGAATGGTTATTAAGATGTGGTGGTTCAGTACGTTTTAAGAATTCGACTTCAGTAACAGCAGATTATAATGCTATACCAAGTGGTACTTCGGGACAAAATAAAATCGAAGAAATTCGTGCTGTTAAAGCTTGTATTACATCTGATGGCTTTTCTTATTTAGGTTTTCTATTACTTAATATTATATTATTAATATTTCTATTTATTTTTCTTTTCTCTAAATAGATGGTTTGACTGCTCTAAAGAAAATTCATTTAGAAAAATGTGACCAACTTCCTGATAGTATGTTAGAGATATTAGAGATGATTCTCTCATTGAATTTATTTTTAGGTTCTATTTCTCGATTGAAACAAGTCAAAGATACATTAGAATCTATAGCTTTAATTGATCTAGTTCAAATAAGTGAAATTGGTGTTGGCGATTTAACTGATTTAAAGTAAAGAATTGATATTTTTTATTTTAAAAATATAGACAAAAATTGTTATTGTAGAAATTTAAAACAAATTGATTTGGCTCGTTTACCAAACATTAAAAATCGTGAAGGAATAATCAAATTATTAAGAAATGAATTACCAGGGTGTAATGTCAATTATGATGATAATTATCCATCTGCTCCTGAACTTCAAGAAA